TTTTTTTAATGAAAGACTTAAAAAAAAGGAATGGTTTTTTTCGTCACCCAGTCTATAGAATACATCACCCCTATTCCCTAATACCAGATTTTGATGAGACTATCTAGAGAGACTAGTTTGAAAGATGGTCAAGAACACACGCATGCAAAACTAGAGATATTTTTTTATCAACAGTTAAGAAATTTAAATCACTATAAAGAGACATAATTTAAATCACAGTTAAGAAATTCGTGAGATGGCTTTATGAGGGGAGTATCTAGAGGGTATGATAGAGTCTTCCAAGTATCGATGGGATATCAAGTTTGTCGAGTTTAAGAACATTAACATTACTACGTTGCAATAAACTTAGGTTTGACAAAAGCTTGACAGAGTTGCTTCTCTTAAAACATTTAGAGGTTCTAACAATCAAAACCGAGTCAAGATTGGTGGGGGAGGAAATGTATTCAAAAGGTAGTTATCGGAGAATCTTTGGAATTCTTGAATTTTCCTGACTGTTCTCCGTACCCTCAAAGGTTCATCATACTGTCCATCCTGCTATGTCAGATCTAATATTGGTTACCTACATTGAGGTTCCATGTGAACATTAGAAAAAGCACATCAAAGCATTGATGGACATGACCGCAGAAACAAGAATCACAAGTGCAATCAAAGTTAAAACTAGACGACCCCATAAATATATATAAAGATTGGACAATAATAAACTTAGACACTTACTTTAGTTAATATCATTTCAGATGTCTTGCATTGTTTTTCTATCTCGCAAGCCAAGTCCTTTAGCTTATTAGATCGTTCACGGTTTGCTGACTGCATAAGTATTTTACATAGAGTCACAAACAAAATATTTAAAAGTAACAATATGTTTAAAAAAAAAAAATAGTTATCACCTCTATATTTTTTTTGAGATCGTTTATGTCTTTCGACAGAGACGAAAATGCAATAGCTAAGTCTTTTTTGGTCGCATACATGTGATCACTAAATGACAAGTCCTGAAGGAATAAACATAGAATTAGAATATTTAAATTCCTCTAACAAAATATAGATTAGAAGAGATGGAGTACCTTGCATGAGACGAAACAGTATCCGATCAATAGAATGAAAACAACTACAACGACGTAAGAGGCATAGCCTAGACTGGTCATAATTATTTCTTTATTCTCGCTTGCAAGATCTCGAATCTGATTTCAAGAAACAATGAAAATTGTGTCACTAGAGAGAAGGACCAACTTTGACTTAATGATTCCAAGAAACGCACAAGCTTACAGGGCAAGAGGAAATGAATACCTGAGAAGCTAAGAGTACACTTCCGAATACGATCAAACCAAAAACACCTTGAACATGAATGCATATATGTCAAACCAGTGTAAGCGGAACTAAGAGAAACCAGAAGCAGATATTGAATCATCATGACTGAATATTATTCTGTGTACTTAAAGCCTACGTACCTGCCAAGGAGGTTGCAAGAACAACAAAAACCCAATCAAATCGATGAAAAACGGATTCAGATTGTGGTTTCACCATTGTTGAAACACGGAGGATTCGACGAACGGATTCAATCG